GAATACAGCAGAAATAATCAGCAAAGTTACGATGACGCTTTCTTTAGTCAACTCGAATAACGATTTCGATTTGTTGGTTGAGTTATCAAACTCCTTGACTATTTTATTTTTGCAGTGTAAAGTTTCACCATGTGGAAGAAACACACATGATGTTAGTAGCCTTCTTTCGTTGATGAAAATTGTTGCAGCATCTCAGCACAAAAGATAACGAAAGAAATCTTTGTCAAGATTTGAAAACACTGACTCGGACTTGAAAGTGCACGCGCTACACTATTCAAATGAGCTACTTGTACGCGTCAGACTTTCCTTTCAAAAACTTTTACAAACTCGCCAAACAAGCAGAAACAATAAGAGACTACCAAAAACAGGTTTTGGTTATGATTAGAGAAACTCACAAATTAACTCGATACCAGAGTAGATTGTTTTCTTGCATAAGTTAACTTTTCTCTACAGAACAAACGCCAAAGCTTACGCGTACAACTAACGCGAGCAGATAAACCTGATCAAACCTTATTTATTCATTTACAGCGCGAAATAGAAGTCTTGTTTTCGACCCTGAAAAACTCACCTTTTCCGTTAGCTCGGAGCATCAAACTTCATACAAGCGTTCCGGTTCTTATTCCCTAGGTTATTCTCTCCCATTGCTGTGGCAGTTCTCGCCATTTGATCAAGCAACGTGACAACATCACGCGAGAATCCACGACATGTGCGTGGATTCGCGCGGATATATGTCGTCAGGATGGCGCAATTTGTTCTAAAAATAGAAAAATTGTCCCATATCATGGGTGCGCGCGGATCCCAAGACTTACGACGGTCTCCGTCCCCGATGATGGCTCCTGCTTGAAACCATCGTCTCGTTGAGAGTCAATTCGTTGCAGTGCGATACACACTCTCTAACCAGACTAAAGTCGGCGAATTTTGCATTCACTGAAGTACATGTTTGGCTTCAAATCCCAGATAACCGCTCCGTGCGAGTCAGTGGAGTTGGATGAGAGATTCGTCAGTTTGGCTCAATCACTTCCAATTCATTTCTTGAATGTTCAGTCGAACAAGATACTTGTTTAAGTTTCTTCAGCACAGTAGCCACACAAAGCGACTCATGTAAGCGGCTGTCTATCGATTGGTCTGCATCTCTGGCAACAATCATATTTAAGTTTTAGAGTTTGTTCATGGTTTTAGTCTTGCAAACAACAATCAAGTCACCGAAGTCTATCATGTTATATAGACAATATCAGAGGGCCATTACCGCCAAGTTAGTATTCACACCAGTGTAACTCCTTTTGCAGTCTTATGCTTCACTCACGGAAGCAAAGAGGATTAGTGAATGTACTCCTTCTCGACGATTCACAAGGCCTTATTAAATTTTATCGACGTGGTATTGCTTCCTTTCTTCGTTGCTTACGAATATATTAGGCAAATATATCAGGTAAGCACGCATAAAATCATAAGTGAACCGTCACGGTTTTGAAACGGAAGGTCAATTTCTTGGAAAAGCCTGCTGTTTGGTGAATCGTGTAACATTTTGCATAGTTTTGTCCGTGCCCCCCTCCCCCGTCCCCTCCCCTCCGGGCACCAGTCAGACACACATGAACGATCTCACATTTAGCTACATTTGGTAAATTAAAGTTATTAGCCAGGGAATAACACTGCAGTCCCGCTTTGATCCAATGTGCTTTGAATGTCTTATCTGGCTCTATCGTGTCGAAAACAAGGATTCCACCATAGCCGTAGAACGTACAAAATTTGCATTTCTTAAAATAATCTTTTAATGGCGTTACAAAATGTGCTTCTGAATAAGTCTACCTTCTAGGAATTGGTGCTGAAATACTATTACATCATTCCGGGTAACTTTTTTTTTTTTGGCAATTTTTTATCATTGTTAAGTGAAGACACCACGTCACTTACAAACTTAAACTTACAGAACATGTTTTTACAACACTATTACATTATTATACACTATTAGCCTGAGCTTTCATTGTGCCAGAGATTTCAGAGATGCCGCCGGGTACTGAGACATTTCTATTAGGCATATGCCAGAGTAATTTACAGAAATGTCTGATAGTTACTTTTCCCACAAGACAAAAGTTTACATGATCATCTCAGAAAGAAAATGAGTTGACCCAACATCAAATATTCCAAGTAAAATGAAAACGATTAAAAGCAAATGTTAGAGGAATTGTGATGTTAATGGTAGGTAAAGTAGTGAATTTTGGCCAGCAGTTCTGCACAGTTCTGATTTCACGGCCGCAATCCTTCAACTACATGCAGATTCACAAGACTGTTGTTACTTTCACTTTCTTTGATTTCGTTTCCTTTACCGCGTGCGCGTAGCAGGCGGCTGTTACCCGAGTGATAGCTTTGAGTGAGGGAAAAACAACTTTTACGATGCGACAACAAGAACAGTAAGAAAAAATACTATATTTGGTCTTATCCCTGACCTACGCATTTGCGCGCACTTGCCGAATAGGATGAACTAACAACATTAAGGAAATTAGAATAAAACAGTTGGAACGAGGGGTAAAATTGGTTTCAATTCTTTTACAAGTATTTACAAAGTTCAGCAGCCTATTTAACGAGTAAAACTTTTGAACTTCAAATAAAAAAATGTAAACCTTTAAAATATAATTTTATGTTACTGATTTGTCTCTTCGTTGTGTTTTTCACACTTGTGGAGCATATTAAACGTGTTCCAAAAGACATGAATTATATCGCGCTTCGCGCTTCCCATAAACCTTCCAGTGGTCCGGTCGCCCTGTACTTCGTACCGGTTTAACAAAGCAAACCCGCTCCTGAAAGCTGTTTGTTGGAGCTACTGCCATTTTTAGAGCGACTGCTGTTGTTGGAGCGACAGCTGTTGTTGGAGCCACTGCTGGTGTTGGAGTCACTGCTGTTGCTGGAGCGACAGCTGTTGTTGCAGCCACTGCTGGTGTTGGAGCCACTACTGTTGTTGGAGCCACTGCTGTTGCTGGAGCGACAGCTGTTGTTGGAGCCACTGCTGGTGTTGGAGCCACTGCTGTTGTTGGAGTCACTGCTGTTGTTGGAGCCACTGCTGTCGTTGGAGCCACAGCTGTTGTTGGAGCCACTGCTGGTGTTGGAGCCACAGCTGTTGTTGGAGCCACTGCTGTTGTTGGAGCTACTGCTGTTGTTGGAGCGACTGCTGTTGTTGGAGCCACTGCTGTCGTTGGAGCCACAGCTGTTGTTGGAGC